CTTACGAAAAACTTAATTATTGCAAAATTGCAAACAGTATTATAAAAACTGCTTATACTATCTGATAGAAGACACTTTTTAGTTTGTATTTATGTTTTTGAAGTTGTATTTTTACCTTTCGTTTAAGAAATATTGTCTAAAAACAAAGTGGTATGTCGGTATCGGTGACCTTCCCCTACCAAAGTTCAAATAGAGAATTCGGTTGACGGAAATACATACGTATCTTGTCATCTGATATTCACTCCCTATTGTAAGGCATTATTAAAAAAATGTAATAATTATCCCGGTTTATTCGTTTCATCTCAAAATTTTCAGAGTGTTTAAATTTTATTGGATCGATTCAAATTATGTAAGATGAATCAGTAACACAGAATGTTTCTGGACATACTATATATCGATAAACAAATGATACTACGATTCCATAGAAGAGGATGTACATACTCATATAAAAGACTGTCAAATTAAAATGTTTGACGACTTGGCAGATGAAAAACAGTCACATGCTGATTATTGACTAAACACCTAAACGGATAAAGTCGTAGTTTACGCTAGGAAGATTTATGCCTTTTCCTTTGCGCGCGCGCGCGCGCGCGCGCGTGTGTGTGTGTGTGTGTGTGTGTGTGTGTAAAAAGATGTAGTGCAATAACCCTCGCGTTTGAAATCGCTACTGCATTCGATCGACTGCTTAATCCTCGTCAGTCAAATGCAATCGCTATCGTAATCTCATCGAATTACGTGACGACGCCGCTTTATGTAACTAAGTCAACGCTCGTATCATCGAATTAGCGCACAAAAAAGCTCGAGGTTGGGTCAATTTGTCGAGAGAGCTTCTGGATAAACGGGTGGGCTCTATTAAAGTGGTTACCTTGTTAAGGCATTGTTTCCATTGGCATTAAATCGGTGTCACAAGTCTATAAATACACGCGCATATCGTGTAATTATAAAAAATTTGCCCACACGTGTAAAAATGGAAAAACATTTTTTTCAAGAAAGACATCTGTCAAGTATATTATTGAACGAGTTGTGTTTGTTAAACGAAGTTTATTTTAAAAAAAGACCGTACGCGCCCAACGACGACAAATCCGCAATGTATGGTGGTGTTATCGACGCGTAAACGTTATCTTACCCGATTTTTTATCGTGCACGTGATATCACCCCCGTAATAGATTACAATAACCGCATCTCGTAGTCTTCGCGTATAGGAAGATTCAATAACCAGCGAGTCAGTTTGTCAATGGACAAACGCGTTAAATTCAATTGACTTTGCAAGAAACGCTAATGATATTAATCGATCGTTAAAAATGTTTGGTCAAATTCATTTGTTGTAGATTTATTTAACTTTCATTATACAATGTTATTTTACGCACATCCGAATGGACTGGCTACGACGTGACACAACCCATTGAGAACGATCAGTCGGTTTAAATTCCCCAAAATAAATTTTTCGCGACTCAACGGTACCTCGAACGGTGCCCGATATATCAAACTTTTTCGTAAGTTTTTATAGAATAAAACGACTTACTATTTGGCGCAATCGATAAGTTGATACTCGTTACTCCTTTCAAAGCTTTGCTGAACGCCCCGATCTCTCCAAAGTGTTTCGACGATATCGTAGAATTCCTGAAAGAACACAACAATCGATCAATAATTAGACCCGCTTTTGCTGATCTTTTCGAGAAAGAAACGTGCTCATTCCAGCGATCGTTTCCGGGGATCGAGAGGGAAGAGCAAAGTGTATAATACATTCTAATGCATCATACATTGTACGTAGCTTTAAATTGAAAAGATAAAAATGTAAATCTTTCAAAATTTTTCAAAGATAGACATGCAATGAGTGAGCAACCCGCGAAAAGATCCGTCGGCGAATTGAATGAAACGATCGCAATATGATCTATTCGCGTATATTTATAGTACATTTATTGCACAGGATCGCCGGACTGTTGTAACATTTAATATTTAATTAGTGCAATGGTTAACTCGCCGCGGAAAAACGTGCTGCCCGTCAAGTCTGCGACTTGTTGAAAAATGTAGTTGCAGAATGTAGGTATTGTACATATGTGCGAGGAATGCGTAATAAACGTTGTTTAAATCAACATGTAAAGATTATTCAATCTTGATCTCGTGATGTATTAAAAAAAATATTTCGCAAAAATGCCGTTGTCTTGACTGCAAAAGCGATCAACGGATTTTTATCAATTTCACGTGAAAAAGTTAGGAAACATTTTTTTTAGCAAATTGTTGCAAATAGTAAATATTGAAAGTCGAAATCGTTCAAATTCCTTGGGTGAATTGCTTAATTATTAAAGATTAAACTCTCTAGTATTCCCTATTTCTTAAAAAATTATAGTGAGCGTGATTCGTTTCTCGAGGCACTTTATTAAAAATTCACCTGCATTCTCTATCAGCTATCTCATGGCGCATTCGACAGTCGCGGCGCGTTATACATAGATATAATAGATTATGCATTTAGTAGTAAGTTAAAATCGCGACTTGAATGTTACGTAAATAATGGCGACTACAAGGCTACACTTCGCGTTACTGACAGAAGATGTCGAGCGCATTAATAATTTAGATGTTATTGTGTTGGGAAACTTGATTTCCTCACTTGCGTAGGCGGTTTCGCAGAAAGCGCTTTGGTTCCCGTGACATAACAGTTAACACACATTGAAACACGGACTCGAAAATTATGAGGAAACGATGGGATAGAATTCTTCTTCTTACAATTAGAGAAACTAAACCAAACTTATTGCGCGCGGACGCGTTCGCGATCGAATGTCAAATAAAATAAAATATGTATAATAAATGTTATCTGGTAAACATTATAGATATTAATAACAGCAATATTTCTAAGTTAAGAATTTCTCGCGATCAATGACGCCCTCTTGTAAACGGCGCGAATATTAAAAGTTGTCGAGTAATCGTGGTGCAAGTATGCCAGTCCGTGTGCATAAATCAACGTCGAAACAACGTAAAGTATTATTAATTATTTGAGCATTCATGCAGTTGCACCGTGTTCTATCGTCCGATGATATTCTTGGCGAAACGTACGAGTAGATACAATCCGTACATGGATTGCAAAACAGAAATTTCGTTTATACAGATATATACTATATGTAGTTTGCGCAGAGTCTATGTTCTCGTATACGTGTCTGAAACTCTTTCTTTCATAATCAAAATTTTCTCGGCAATTATTTCTATAATCATTAACTCAAATAAAGTTTTTAACGGCGATTAATGAGTATTAAGGAATTAAATAAATCCCAATTGGAAATAAATAAGTATCGTTCCATATCACGAGAATTATATTTTAAATATACCGCTGATGTTTGACAGTGACATTTCCGCTAATATAGCGACGTTAGGTAAGTATAAATACTCAATTATATTGTAATCTTTCGCATATACATATATTCGCATATACATATGTAGATAATATACATTTAAGGTTGAATCTGCTGCAATTTCTATCGTGTCGTACGTCAGTTGTAGCAAAGCCGCGCGAAAATTTTCCCATAGACTTATCTTCCGAAAACCACAACGGACCGGCAGCATAATTGACAAACGTTGTAGTTGGCATGTGCCCTTTCATCTCGTGGCATGCGCCTCAAGTGGCGCGTCGCGTCGTGGCACTCGTGGCGCGAACTTGGACAGGACACCAAGAGGTTCTCCAACGTTCTCTCACGTTCTCTCACGGCCTCCAACGTTCTCCCGCGGCAGTCGGAACTCGGAACTCGAACGTCCATCCCGAGTGTCGTCGCACGGACAGCGCAAGCTGCAAATCACGCCCAAGTCGCGACGGCTGATATGGCCGGTGTGCTTGGCAATAACGACGACGGTTATATTAATAAATTCTCCTGTCGATGCTATTTCCACGCTTCCACGATCGATGGACGGACGCATCGTCGATCCGTCGCGTCGCGTCGCGTCGCGTCGCGTCGTTCACCGCGCGCGAGGAAGGATCACCGCGTGTTGGTGCAGCCTATTGCTGTGTCTCCGCCCGTCTATTACCGCGATTATACACGTACTTACTAATAATTTCGTCCAAACGCGTCATCCTGTCGCCTGTCGCTAAGCCCCTAAACACTGTCGCAAAGCGTGCCATAAAACTCGGCTAAAAATACAGGGACACGTAAGTACACACGCGTTGTAAAATTTGTGTGCTGCATGCGGATAAAAGCCTCCAAGGCTTACTGCAGACCCTCACTGATTCAACGTAAATCCTTTAAACGCGCGAGAGGGTTACTTTTTTAAAAATTAACATTACAATATTTATATTTATATATATTTATTTATATTTATAGTTTGATATTTATTATACAACATTCTCTTGGAATGTTTTACCATACGATCTTTTGAAATAATATGTACATCTTATTATTATATAATATATATAATATACTGATTCACTCGTTTACCTCTCCCGTATAAAAAATACCCAAGTACAAGTACGAGTATATGAAAGAAGTATTGAAATTACTTGACATTTTCGAAAGAATATAATTTCGGGATTCTCCATACATCCTAATTTCAATTTTTAACGTTATTTTTGCATTTACATTATTTGCAACGAATTATTTGTACGTAGTCGATTGTTTGTAAAATAATCGTAACGATGCCAATATGTTTTGCCAACCTGTGCCGAAATTAGGCCTAGGATTTTCCTAAAATAAATTTCCGCAAAACACCCCCACTTCTTTCCTCTCATCTCACAAGTATATGGAGAGCCGAATGACAGTGGCAAATTAAACACGAATCGTGTCGAAAGAAAGCGCCGGCAGAGTTCGCGACTAGTAGTAATAGAATCGGTGTCTTTCATCAGCCACGAAAAAATGCCGGTGATATGTCAGATACAATATTTATTTATTCTTTTTTAATTAATGCGATAAAGTACTTTGTCACGCAAAAGCTTATCCAATATGCATGATGCAATCGTATTGATGCTTTAAAAAAATACTCGACATTTTAATGGAATTTGCTTAATTTGATTAAATTTGTTGAATTCTGAAATCAGATCCTTCGATTCATTATCTCGCAATGATCTGAAAGTAATGCCGAAAAGCGTCGAACGGTAGAACGTAACGTCGAGCTTTAGCGATACAAACGTAACGTCTATTGCGAATAATCTATAAATACTGCGCGAATCATACGTTAGCATAACACGCGGCTTCGAAAGCCCGAATCGCGTTGGATGCAAAACGATTTAATTCAATTAATTCCGATGCATCATCGACCAACGGTCGTTGCGAACGCAACGCAACCACGCACGTGCAACAAATATTAGGCGATTTTTGGCATGCTTCTGGTATAACAACTAATAGCAACCGTGATTGGGGCTATCTTTGTCTTCTGATCCCTGAAAACGAAGATAGCCTTACTACTTTTGGTTGCTATACCAGAAGCACGCCTACTCTCGCGCTGCGCGCTGGCAAAGGTAGTGCACCGTACACGCCGCGCCGCGACTCGCGCCGAATGACGAATGACGAATGACGCTGCCGCGGATTATTTCGTCGCGATCGCAACCATTTTATTTCGAGAGGCCCGCCGCGTCGCGCCCCTTTTTAATTCATTCTCTCTCTCTCTCTCTCTCTCTCTCTCGAAATCGCCCTTAACACACAGACTATATAACTGCAAATAAATCAATCGATGATTAATTTATTATACAACTTGGTTGTGTCAAATACCTATTATACTTTATATCTATAATGATAAAACTTTCTTGATTCATGTCATTCGATATATATATATATATGTATATACCTACAAGTACATAAATCTTACGCTAGCAGGATCGTCTCTTATTGAGATTTGGCAGTGAAATTTCTTCTGTTCAGGAACAAAAAATTCATATCGATCGATGTAAATTTTTATTACGTACGAGTACCTATAATGATCGCATGAATTTGCGAGCGATACAATTGAGAGATATCGTGCACATACACACATACGTACATGAGAAATGGCGCAGCACGTAGTACAGGACTAACATGTGCGGTGGCTGTATAAACATCGTAAACACTGATCGTGCCACGCAGTGGTTCTCACGTCAAGAGTCTATACGTACGTATGTACATACCTATGTACGTCTGCGTGCCTCGTTGCGTTAATCCGCAGATGTACGTCCGTCGCGTCGCGTCGCGTCAGTGCCGCTTTTACGAGAGAGAGAGAGAGAGAGAGAGAGAGAGAGAGAGAGACACGCCAAGAAATGTCATCGCGATGATCATCAAATAAATTTCGACGTGTCGCCCATTACACCACGTGTACTTGTTACCGTTTACGCGCGGCCTGGTGTGTGCGCTAAACGATGTCGAGTAGTCGCGAGTTGCACCAAATATACTAGGACGATCGTTTGTAAGTTTGGATATCATGCGACGAAACGATCTACATATACAATATTACGAATGAACAATTATTAAACTTATTTCATCTTGTGCATAAAATTGTGTAAAAGTTATCAGTAAAAAATTATCAATTCCATATAGATAAATAATAAATAATTAATTGATACGATACAGAATGACATGTGCGCGAAGCTTTGTAATGCGTTTATAGATCCTTATATGAAATTTAGAAGCAAACGTATACCGTTCTGCAGCTATAGGTAATCAGCACCATGTAAATTGTAATTTCACGAAAATTAACTCACGAGAGAATGTAACTATAGGAGCGATGTGTTATAGTTGCTCGGGTTATCGACAATTGCAGTCAAATCAAAATTATAACGTGGAATACTTATATGCGTTGAAATAACACCAACTCAAAATACCGACAAGTGTACAAAGCGTCTCATTAAACGTTGCACGAGCGAAATTCGCGATCAGAAAAGTAGGTATGCATGCGCGGTCAATTCAATCGCCTTCCCTTTTCCATCTCCGATGGACCGAATTAGCGTCTGATGGAATTTAGCCATGTCATTTAGAAACAAATTTTACGTGACGCGCAACTGTATCGGTCCGGGGATTCCCTCTTATTTACGTTACCTTACGTTACGTGAACGGAGAAATACAACGCAACACATTACAACGCAAATAAGCCATGGCTGACTCACCGGAGGATAATCAAAGTCTGGGGAAGACGAGACTTCCAGGACATAGTCCATTCTGCTCTGATTCGACATGTCTCCTAGTGTAACGGGCGGCGTTAACGTACTCATCGCACTGGTTATCGTCTGCAAAAAAAAGCAACGTGTGTCTTTTTTCTTATCTGTCATCGCGCACGTAGGAAATATATATCTTCAAATCAAAAATTTCCTCCATATAGTAGATATAAAGGTTAAAATAATTTTGTGTGTTAGAATCTATGCGTTTACGTTAGAATTTATATCTTTTCTCATATGTATATAGTTGTTAAATCTAATCTTTTGTAAAAATAAAATATTAATATTATTTATACCTATCGTTTTATTCACTAATCGTCTATATTATCCTCTTACGTCTATCTATATAATACATATACATATATGTGTCTATATAGGTATGTGCGTTATTATTGATGTAATAAAAATCGTATAAACTGTATAACAAGAATTATATTATTGATTAATCTTGATGAGGAGTATTACGATCTAAATACTTTATATGTATTAAAAAATCACACTTGTAATATTCTCGCTAGAATCACACTTTTATCTTTTATTATTGTATAATTACTGGTAATCGCTGTAATTGTCACGCTGTTAATTACTTTGTAAGAATTTCATATGTAAAAAAATTGTTGAAGGTAGCGCCGTTTACGTTAGGGTAACGCAGTGTACGAAAGGGCAAATTGTATTTTGCCTGGGGAGGGGAAGAGGGGGGTTGGGGGCAAAAACAGAATTGCGCGCGCATTGAACGCGAGTCTGAATGATAAATCGGTGACGAAATGCTCTTGCAGCTAGATTTGATATCGCAAATTTGCGTATCACGTAACGGTTATGTCGAGTGTTATTTTGAGCGCAACGATTTGTGTGTCTACTAAAACTTGGTTTGGAAGCAAACACGGAATCCGTGATGCAACACTGACGAGAATTCGACTATCGATGAGATCATCGCTGGGGAAAAGAAAGAAAAAAAAAGAAAGAGTTAAGTAGAAGAGCGAATATCTCTTGTAATAATCTATAATTTTGCCAATTAAACTCACTTGCCAAATTACCCAACCTCTCTTCTTACAATTGATTTCAATGCTCATGTAATAAGTCTGTCAAGCTTTTACACAAAGGAATAGATATATGTAGGGTGAGAGGATACTTACCAAAATGGCGTCCCTAATATTCTTCTTAATATCTTCAATCTTCTGCCGCTTTTCCCTGCGAACACGAAGATGCATGTTAGATCCAAACGTTAGCGTTGTTAGAAATCCGACACCAATTTCTTGTTGACCGCGTAACTAAATGTGACTAACAATAAGTATTACGACTAACAATGTGTATTGTATACAACAGACATAGTAGCGCAAGAGTAGGTCGACCAGCAATAATGATCGAGTCACGAGCTGAATGAAACGATAGCACAGACCGTGTGTTCTTTTATATCGGTATTTTCAGACCAATTCGATAATTTTAGCGCGGCCAACTACCACGCGTTATTTAAAACAACTCGCTGGAGAACTCATGGCCGATCAATAATGCGTATTTCTGGAACTGTCTGTTTTCAAAGATTCCGGCTGAAGAGAATAAATCCTCTTTGTTCGAGACATTCAAATTAAAAACTTGTCGCAAAATAAAAAAGTTTGCGTACAGATTGAGAAAAAAGTTGCAAAGAAGTGAAATGTAGAAATGAAAGACGGTCTTCTGTTCTCTTTTGCTTCACAGTTGTCACCGTTTAGACTTTAGACCGAATAGAACTTGGACGTGCGAGCGTAAAAATTGGAAAGAATCTAACCGCCAACATCCGTGCGCGAGAGAATGCACGAATTATTGAATTATTGAATAACGAGGCTCCTTGAAGCAGACAAAAGATTTACAGCGGAATAGCGGAAGATGAAGGAAACCAAGTAAAATGGAATATATACAATATACGAGAGACGTAACCGCATGAGATAACTATTGCCAGCAGGCTAGAAAAATGAACGTGTATAAAAATGAAAAAAGATCTAGATAATCATATCCAATTCGAGAAAGAAGAAAAATCATCCAGAACGCTGCTAAATAAAAAAAAAATTAAACGCTTCTCTCGTTTTATTGAAACGAGAGAAAAACGTTGATATACATATCTATCTGTAAAAGAAAGTAATTCCAGTGAATGCGAATTTCGAAGATAATATCAGATGATTGTGAAAAAGAGTGAAGAATAAATATAACGTTCGCAATATGAATGCGTCGCATACATGGAAAATAGTCAAGGAAAATCGTTAAGTAATAACGGATCCGTATCAGCCACGTGTTGATGTGACGCTACTTGTAGCTAATACTGCAGGCAGCGGTCTGAACCGGTTATGAGATGAATCATTCGCACAGAACGCGCTAAAAAATTCATTAATACACTACAATTTGCGATTCGATTTCTCGCGGACGTTCCTCGAGATTCGATTCAAGTCGTTAGGTCGTTACGAAAAAAGAATGCCAAGAAAAAAAGACTTAACGCGTCGCCACAAATAAAAAGATAGTAAAAATAGCGTTACATGCTCTCAGCCATATACAAGGATGTATAGCAGCTTGTGTCTGTCTCTAGGCTACGTGCCTCTCGAAAATCGTCTCGCGAGATTCGAGTCGTAGGTGTACCTATACCTACAGTGAAAGAGATGCTCCGGCAAAATTCAATGAACGTACCGCGTACACGGTAGCCTACTCGCGTTTCGTAAACGGCTTACGTGAGTAGCAGGGATGAGTACGATATCTCGCATTTCGCTGACATTTATTTAATTTTAACGCGAGCTTCGCGATGAAAAGCCTCGCGGCGATAGGGAGAGAAACAAAGGAGAGAAACCTCCTCCTTTAACGGGTTAACGATTGATATGGTCCGAGTGATAATTTGGTATATAATGGTATATGTAATAAATGTGGATGGAGCCGTAATATCGTATAAGCGATCGCACCGCGCGCGTTTGCCGTTGCAAGTTTTTAAGTAATGATGAAACTTACGCTTCGCTGAAACCATTGACGTGCAGTATCCTCATCTGTTTGACAATCGTGCTTTTGCCGGACTCTCCTGCTCCTGAAACAGGGCGAAATACAAAATGTTTGAATAATCTTTGGCGACATTAATCTCTCTGGCGTGGTGTTGTTGCTGCGTGATGTTGCTGCTACTCAGCTGACGCACCGCGCGATGTAAGTAATAACTTAATAACGCGCGCGAAAGAATATCTCACAGAATTGAGATTTCATCAACCGAGATGTATCGTATATGTAATATAGTTATCGATCAGCCCGCCACGATAAAAGGTATTATAATATCGTGCAAGGTTTAACGATATATTGCGAGAATGAACGACTGCGGAATGCGCATTTACGTGCAATTTTCATGCGTGCAGCGTGCAGCGTGCAGCGTGCAGCGTGCAGCGTGCAGCGTGCACTCCGCGAGATTTAAATGTTCGGCGTTCTCTAAAATGAACCGGGACACGGGATTTCCCGCAGTGTGATGTGTGATGATGTGCGAGATCGTGACCTAGATCGCAATAGAGTTAATTAAAGCGCCTTTTTGATCCTCTCGCCCTCGGCCATGAGCGAAATAGATATCAAGCTTTTCAACTTTGTGCATATGTTTTCAACGTAATTCACAACAAGTATCAACATTATTTCCTATCGCGCGTATTCTTAATACTTGTACGTATATATACCTAATGTTGTGCTCGTTTTATATGTATACCTAACATTTAGCATCACTTTTCAAATGTTAAATATTCTCTCGACGCTATATAAACTCTTAAATTCTCGTTAAAAACTCGTGAATCAAGTGAACGATAAGTTTGCGGAAGTTTAATCGGAGAAAGCTTGTAACTCTTCAGTAGCATTACGTGACGTAATCCCTGGTTACAAAATAATACAAAAGCCTTATTAAGTAAATCACAAAATAAAATTTTGCAAATATTACGAGAAAGAAAAGCTACTATATCAGTTTGTATAATACAAGTGTTATACATGTATAATGTATATTTTTCGTACGCCAGGTACGATTACGTGTTTAATTCTGGCTCCAAGTTTTTTCCAAACCAAAGATTTCTGTGATCCAAGTCGCGAACGCGATGACACAAGTTATAGGAGATATCCACAATCGGCCACAGGTTTCGCGTGGTCGTAATGACACGCGAGGAGGAAACAATACGGCGACAGCTGTTGCTCCGTCCGTCTCCCGCGTCTCCGACGGCGAGGATGACGATGACGACGCATTCGCATCGAATTAGAACGTCGACCTACATAAACGCCGGATAATAGGAAAGCGAATGTAGACGGAGCGCTGCTGGGTTAAACGTCGCGTCGCGCTAGCTAAACAGGCATGTATTGTATAATCAATGTTTTTCGCACGTACGTATTTTCGGTATGGAAAGAGGGAAAAATACATGAAATACAAGAAAGAAAGAAAGAAATCTGAGAAAAAAACTGCGTTTTAAAAGTAAACTAAAAGCAATCTAAAACTATTATTAGAATTTAAAATTACAAAATGAGTATTGTTTACTACAAAAAATCGTAATAACGTTAAAAAGTAAAAATTATAGAATCGGTTAGTGCTGGACATCACAAAAACAGGAAGTAAAAAAAAAGTTAAATTTATTGGTAAATAGTTTATACTATTTGGGAGGAGCTTCGATGAAAAAGATGTGCAGATACACATAGAACAAAATCTATAGCGAGAAAAAATATTGTAAACTTTAGTGGCAGCACACATATTTGTATCGACTAGTATTAAGCGCTACGTTTCATTAAACGATTGAAAAAGTATAAAAACTCTTGTTTAAACATGTCTGAAAATCATTAAAGAGAAAAAAGAGAGATTTATTCTATTATACTGCAGAGCATAACGAATAACGAAATAATGTAAGCACAAAGCTGAATTTTTTATTACAGCTATGAGACAAGAGAATATGAGAGAGAGAGAGAGAGAGAGAGAGAGAGAGAGAGAGAGAGAGAAGGAAGAGAGAAAGGAGATGAGAATCGAAAAGAGGCGACAAACACGAGGCAGCCACTGGATATTCGTGGGTGCCTGCAGCTCGTACGATAATCGATAAAATTGAATTACGCGCCGCTGAACATCGCGATAGCGGCCGGCCGGTCGGTCGGTCGGTTCTCACCCCCGGTGTCGCGGAGGTTCTCTTTGTTCGAAACCGACAATCACTGACGGCCCTGTCCGATATTTAACGCGCCTCGATTGACGAACCTGCGAAAAGGATCGAGGATTATCTTTCGAGCATATGCGGACGCGGCGCGGGACCCAAACGCAGGATTATCCTCCTCTGCACAATTTTTACCTCGTGTGTCCTCGTGGTTCACTTTAATTAAAAAACTTGAAGCGCGCGCGCGCGCGCGCACACACACATCCCGTGAGATTAAAAAGCGTCGTTGGATTCGGCCCTAGGAGGAGCACGAGCGATATCGATTATACGCTCGTCTTCGCATCTAAGCGTGCGCTTATAATTTCCTTGCGTCGTGTCGCGTCGCGTCGCGTCCGTCGGTCGAATCGCATCATTCGACATGATGAATACGACTTGACTGAATAATAATATCATCGAGAAGAAGATGTACCTGGAGAAAAATTATTGATCGAGAGATTCTTCGCTTTCGCGGAGAAGGAAGCAGGTTGAGAGTGGGACTACTACAATATAACGTGGTGTACTATACATATAGTATAGGTATATATACTCACCGAGCAGGAGTAGCCTGTGGGTGGCACGGTAAACCTGCTTGTCCTTCTGCAGCTGCCTGGTGATGGCATCGGATCGTCTCTTCTGATTTTTGCTTTCATCCTGGCTGTCCTTGTTCTGGCTGCCGAAACACCCCATGACACACCACGGGAAGGATACACGCGGCTCGCCGTTTTTCCCTTCGACGTCTAACGGTCCGGGCCCGTCAGGTTCTTGGGTCGCGTTAGTCGCGTAGACGGCGGTGGCGGTAGCGGAGTTGAGCGAGAGGTAGGACGATCGAGACACGGATGGAGACGGACGACGACGGCCCGCGATCGAGGCGATCGAGTTGGTCGCGAGGGCGACCGTGCGACCGGCGGCCGCGACGACGTCCTGCTGCTCGTCGTCCTCGTCGTCGTTGTTTACGGCCGCGCCGCCCGCGCCGCCCGCGCCGCTACCGCTGCGGGTCCGCCGCCGTTCGAAAAGCGCCCCGAATCCCGCCGCGCTACGCGCACTACACTCGCTCCCGTTCCGCGATTCCCGCCGTCCGCCCTCCTCCGGACACCCGCCCGCGCGCCGCGCTTGCGCGCGCGCGCGCGCTGCGGTCTCCGCGCGCTTCCTCGCCCGATCGACGTCTCTCCCCTCTCTCTTTCTCTCTCTCACTCTCCCTCCCGCTCTCCTCTCCACTGCAATCACGGCCGGTGATGGCAATCTCGTCTCTATCAAAGGATACTTTTCTCGCTCTATTTCTCACCGCCTTCCCTCGCGTTTCTTCCCTTTGATTCTCTTTCTTGTTTACGGCGACGGCGACGACGACAATGACGTTGACGGTGGCGGTGGCGGGGGGGGGGGGGGGGGG